AACCCGGAGCACCGAGGTCGCATGTTTATGAAAATAGATGTAAATCGATTAAAAAAACTGAAGTCTAAAAGGATATAGTTTCGACGTACAGTTGTGAATCTTAAGAGAAAATTTGAGCATAAAAAAGCTTGTCATTTTGGAACTCGCGATGTAACGTCCAAAGTTTAAAACAACTACTTCGTGAGTCCCAAAATGACACAATAATTATGCAATGTCATTTTGGAACTCGCGAAGTAACGTCCAAAGTTTAAAACAACTATTTCGTGAGTCCCAAAATGACACAATAATAAAACATTGTTACGATTTTGCAAACAATTGCTGTTAAAATACTTTGCCTAAAAYTTCACCTTTATTTTTGTACGGAACTTGGAGGTAGTCCTCATGTAAGAAAAGAAAAGCTATAAGAAAAGCACAGAGAAAGGTAGTAGAAACGCATCGGCGTCATCTTGTTTGTTCTTGGTCACGTCACGAGTCGGTACGACGGAGCGAATCTGTCGGGAACACGAAGGTGACGTCATTTTCGGGATGTCGTTTTGAGTCTCGCGAAATAGCCTCGGGATCAGCTAAAAACTCACAAACATGTTCAGAATTCTTGGTTAAGACATGTAAAATYGAAGATATAAAGGTAAACTATACTTTTTACTTTTTCTTACCTTTTTTGCATTAAAGTAAACCATCATTTCGGTGCCGATCTTATTTCAAAGCTCTTTCGAATCTGGTATCGCAAACACCTCAAATTCAACTTACTTTCATTTTGAACTCTTAAATATTCTGCACTTTGAATATTTTGAATGAAAAAGGTGGACTAAAATGTTACTGTTAGTTCCTAGAAATGATAGAATTTGGCCATGAGTTGGACAGCTCCAAATTTAGAGCCGACTAATGCTTGCACTTTGACAACCTTGTCATGATCAAACCATGTTGTAGTAGAATTTTTGCAAAGTTTGCACTTCATGAACAATTGCTCATCCAGAGGTCAGTCATGAAGCCTGAGAAAATTAACAGTCTCTAGCTGTAATAATTACAGGCGATACTGAAAGAAAAATATATCATCGAGACTCAAATAGCTCTATAATGGACGCCACATAATGCCTTGCGATCCAAGATGGCCACCGTATCGTCAAAGTAGTCCATTGACAATATATTTAAGGAATATAAAACGCGCGCTTGTCTCTGTTTACGAGACAAGTATTATAAAATATTTTTGAACGCGTTGGCGCGAGTTTGTCTCTGTCCTCTGATATAAACACAGTACCCAGCCAATTGGCGCGCGCGTTATATCTCAAATATTAAAAGACCCATTGCCACTTACCGTGATGCATCACAATTTGTTTACATTTTGAATCGTGTCACCACTGAAAAAACAATTCCARTCTTTTGAATAAACTCTTAGATAGTCCCTAAGGCCGTAAAGTAATGTAAAATAATCCTTTTTGTGCCTTAGTGCTATGTCGGAAAAGGAATTAATATGAAGTTATTATTCAATATATGAATCTTTGAATTTCATGGACCACGAAATTCATCTGTGACCGCGGTGCATCACGGTAAGTGGCAATGGGTCTTTAATAATAAATATCCAAAATATAACGCGAGCGCTGATTGGCTGGCTACCGTGTTTATATAACGTATAATTATGCAGACAACAGTGAATAAGATGCTGCACAAAGGAAAGGAATCTCAAGGAACGTTTTTTTGAGTAAGTTTTGTTTTTACCTTAAGCTTGAGAAAGAATACACTAAAAGCTTTTTTTAATCTTAACGAAACGGAATTTTAAGGAGCTTTTTTTTTCTGCATATGCAAAGATTAAAGCAAATTTACCCCTCGCCATCTATCTATTAGCTATCTCATGAACCCCTCTATCTGGCTATTTTCGGCTAATTTTTAACTCATACCAATACATTGCACTTCGTGGCTATTGTTTATGATAACATCACGTGATGAGTGTTATTTTGCAAGTACCTTAAAGCAGCCAATGACAGTCGTTTTTACATGCGGTGAAAACTAGCGCTCAAGCATATATGTTGCATTAACAAGAGAATTTGAAAGGACATCTTTCAGCTGGCCATGGAGAGGTCAGTTTATTTAATTAATAATATAGATGCAAAAAGTTCTCACTTCTGATTGGTTGAGAGCAGTGCTGTTTTCCTGAAACAACAGTGCAAAAATATGAAACACTTTTCAGTGATTGGTTGAAAAGACAAAAGAAATTCAAACTAGCCAATCAGATAACAGCAGTTGTCATAGCAACAGAAGAGCGTTCCCTCTTCAGCCTTCATATTTCTTTCTTGTTTTGTAAATAAAATATTGTTTTGTAAACTGATTTTTGACAAAAACAAACGAGTTCTTCGCTTCGTGCATTTTTTTCCAACACATCTTTTTTCTATCTAATTTTGGTTCGAAATTTTTGCATCTATATTATTAACAAGAAATCGCATGGTATTCTCGTGTACTTTGGAATTAATTTGCATCCAAAGTGCACTCGAAACCATGCGATTTCCTATACAAACCTACTGATGTTATTATCCTCGGACCGGCCATCAAAGGTGAACAACTTGTTGGTTTAGTTACCTCATTTAATTAGAGGGTTTTTCTCCAGTTTCTCCGGTTTCCTCCCTCTGCAAAATCAATTCCAATTCGATCATGGAACGAGGGCTACAGTTTTTTTTAATTCTGTATTATCGTAAAACTACTAACGGTTTATCTATTTATCTTATGTAGATCATATTATAGACCATTTTCAAAGTTGTCGTGGATGCTCAGTAGGCTGTATATGCTAAATAGGGTTATACAGAAGAAATATCTCAAATTAAGTGCGAGTAAAAAGTATGATTTCGTTCGTATCCTCTTGCCCATCAGCTTCTAGGTGATTGTATTTAGAGTATAATAAAATGTTCCCCTGATCTATTTAAGAAGGAAAAAAAACAGTGCAATTATCAAAGAACCGTAAGATTCTCACTTACATGTGCTGCATACCGCTAATAGAATACTTATGAAGCCAAGTAAAGTTAACAAAGYACAGGGAGCCCACTTTATACCGTAAGGAAAAAGAAGTGAAAGGAAAAAATGGAAATTTAAGAGAAATTGTCTTTTTGAACACAAAGTTATTAAAGTCTTTTTTTACCAATAATGCTATCTAACACGGAATAATTAATTGTTTGTTTTCCTGTTAAGTTCACATTTATCATGAATAACACTATTTTGCCTTGAAATGCACGAATTTTCACTGTCACCTTTATCTTATTTGGGTCCCTGTGGTTAATATCGTTAACTTAGCTTCAGTTCATACCGTTTCCTGCAAGGAAAAAAAAAAGAAAAAGGTAGTTTTAACAAAACGAAGAGAAATGATAAAAGATTGAAATGTAATCTATTTGTATTGACCGAACACAAAAATGACAACCATGCATGGGCCACATTCAAACGGCAGCCATGTTTTAATCTTATGACAATAAAAACCCTTGTTTAACCCTTGTTTAAATTTATTCTAAAGCACTTAAATGCGAGGGTAGGCGTGGTGGAGGCTATTGTCCAATTCAAAATGGCTGCCATATGAGTGAGTGACTACTTTAGACTACAGTGGAATAATCCTGCC